TTTAAGCGAAAAAATAAAAATCATATAATAATGATTTAATGCTGATTTAAATTATTTTACTAATAATGATTACTGTCCTTGATTGAAACCATTTTGCAGCGACACGTTCTTTTCCAGTTCCTTCTGATTATCATCGTTTATGTATTCAGTTACGCTGTATTCACTCAACCCCTCGCGTTTAGCATCGCGCCCGATCAACTCGGAATCTTCCCAATCTATTTTATCACCCATCGTTGAGGGAACTTTAAAAATCCCCTTCGAAATTTTTATGATTTCATTAGCTTTCTTTAACTTTTCAGTGCGTAAGGCACCCGGCGATAGTAGTGATACGATATTATCCTGTTTATGCGCACACGTGGCACTCGTTGTTGCGCAACCAGATCGCCTTTAAAATCCACCGGCCCATAACCGCCGTTCCAACAGTATTAGGCTAAAGAATGAGAGTACACAAAGTACGCATATGCAATGGATGAGTCGGAGTTGCGTCATTTTTAACCGACTTCCAAAAAAGGAGGAGGTTATCAGTTCGTCGGAATCTTTGTTTTTTTTTTTTTTTTTTTTTTTTTTTTTTTTTTTTTTTTTTTTTTTTTTTTTTTTTTTTTTTTTTTTTTTTTTTTTTTTTTTTTTTTTTTTNTTTCTTTAACTTTTCAGTGCGTAAGGCACCCGGCGATAGTAGTGATACGATATTACCCTGTTTATGCGCACACGTGGCACTCGTTGTTGCGCAACCAGATCGCCTTTAAAATCCACCGCTTACTCAACGGCCCATAACCGCCGTTCCAACAGTATTAGGCTAAAGAATGAGAGTACACAAAGCACTCATATGCAATGGATGAGTCGGAGTTGCGTTATTTTCAGCACCCGATTGGTGTGAATATGTTTGATTGTTGAAAAAGGAAAAAAAAACACTGATGTATTCACTGACGTATGTATTTCCGTACTTAATGCTTCTAGCATCTTTTACGGAGACTAGGCGCTTGGCGCATGTAGATTGATGTTCTTGCTGATAATTACAAGCTGGCGTTACTATTTTAGAACTCTTCAATTAAATTGAGTGCATCTGACAAGTTCAGGCATATGTTCTGATAAGTAGTGCTATCGATAAGACTGTACATATGTATGTGAATAGTTAGCTTGGTATCTTCGTGTGTGCCCAAAAGCTCTGCAAGCTCCGTTTGATAAACTATGTCTGGCTTTGAATGCCAAGTAAAAGTGGAAACAGATTTAAAACGAAGCGTGTAGAGCTGGTTTAAAATGCTGAATAATGTTGCTAGTAAGATAAAAGCTTAGCAAGTCGAAGTTTCCAGTCCACAGCGGCCCAGAGGCCTGCCTTTAAAACTAAGCGCCTTTGAAGGGAAATATAGACTTCTCAACCTTCTTTTAGAACTCAGAGCCCTTTGACCTCACTTTTCGATAGTTTTCAGATATTTTGGTGACAATTTGGTTTGCGGTACAGTGAAACCCGCTTAAGTAAAATTTTGTTCACTTTTAAGTTATAAAAAATGTATTCAACAATTTTTATTGAGCTTGAGGCCGTTTTTACTGAAAAACATATTGTGGAAAAGCAGCAATAATTTGAAGAAATGGTAGAAGTGATAGCTATTTCGGAAATCACCACNTATTAGCACACCGATTGGTGTGAATATGTTTGATTGTTGAAAAAGGAAAAAAAACACTGATTCACTGACGTATGCATTTCCGTATTGCTTCTAGCATCTTTTACGGAGACTAGGCGCTTGGCGCATGTAGATTGATGTTCTTGCTGATAACTACAAGCTGGCGTTACTATTTTAGAACTCTTCAATTAAATTGAGTGCATTTGACAAGTTCAGGCATATGTTCTGATAAGTTGTGCTATCGATAAGACTGTACATATGTATGTGAATAGTTAGCTTGCTATCTACGTGTGTGCCCAAAAGCTCTGCAAGCTTCGTTTGATAAACTGTGTCTGGCTTTGAATGCCAAGGAAAAGTGGAAACAGATTTAAAACGAAGCATGTAGAGCTGATTTAAAATGCTGAATAATATTGGTAGTAAGACAAGAGCTTAGCAAATCTCGAAGTCTCCAATCCGCAGCGGCCCAGAGGCCTGCCTTTAAAACTGAGCGCCTTTGTAGGGAAATATAGACTTCTTAACCTTCTTCTACAACTCAGAGCCTTTTGACCTCGCTTTTCCATAGTTTTCAGATATTTTGGTGACAATTTGGTTTGCGGTGTTCGAAGGATTATCTTCAAAGTCTACGTTCTAAGGATCACTATCTTAAGTAACCAGATATTTACGTCTAGTTTTATAATACCAACCATCTCTAAATGTCCATCTTAATGTTTTTAAGACCAAAATTTCATGCCAAGTGTTTCTCGATTGCGGAAAAATTATGTCTAGTTTTGATCTGACAAGAATGTTTCTTGTTCACTATTTATTTATATCTAATTTTTAAATTACCCATACATTATAACAAGTTTTTAAACGTTCAAAAATTGGTGTGCTATTTTTCAACGACCGAAAAATTTTAATCGTTTTTTAAATTAGCAGAAATGTATAACAATTTTAATATAATCAAAATTTTAAATAGTTTTTTTGAATACCTAAAAATTATGTTCAGTTTTTATCTGGATTTAAAAGAGCAAAATATTATGCTTAGTGCTTCAATGAACCGAATTTTCATACAATGAGTTTTGAAATTATCAATACATTTTTTAAATGTAAATATGTCCAAATCTCAAAATACAGAACAATTTGTTGTTTCTTAAATTACTAGAATTTTATATGCATTTTTAAAACAACCTAAAATTAATATCCAGTTTTTAAGTTAGCGAAAATTTTTTTTCACTTTTTAAATTATAAAAAATGTATGGTAAATTTTTTATGACCAAATTTTTGGGTCACAAAAATGTATTTCCAGTTTTAAAGTGACCAAAAATCGGTAAAATTTTTGTAGACTTAATTACGATTGCTAATTTTTAGCTGTATTTTAAAGTAACCCAAAATGTATGTGGTTTCTTGAAACAACCAAACTATTATGTCAAGTTTTAAGTTTAAGTTAAAATACATAAAATTTTTGTGGCCGAGTTTTCTTGTAGAGTTTCGGGTGACAATAATTTATGTCCAGTTTTGGAGGTACCAAGAATCGCTAGCATTTTTAATGCGTAATTACTTTTACCAGAAATGTATATCAATTTTTACGATATAATAAAATGTGTGCCCAATTCTTAAGTGAACCAAAGTTATGTTCATTCTTTTATATTATTTAAAATTTATTTTCCATTTTTATAACCAAAACTGTTTGCGGAATATAAGGTGACAAAAAATTTGAGCTTCCAAAAATTATGTCAATGTTTTAACCAACCATCGAAAACTGTTTCGTTATTAAAATTACCAGAAATTTCTCTCGATTTTTACAATAAATAAAATTTTGTGTCCAATTCTTACATTAACAATTAATTATATCTAATTTTTATACTATTTAAAATTGCTTCCTCATTTTTATAACTTTTTTAATTTACAAAACTTTTTGTCGAACCCTTAGGTGACACAAAATGTGTGCTAATTTATTTACTGAGCAAAAATGTATGTCCGCCTCTAGGTTCCAAAATATTATATCCAATTCTAAAGTGATAAAATGTTTTTTAAATGACCAAACATGTATATAAATTTCTTAGACGATTTAATTACTTATTTCCAGTTTTCATGTGACCTAAAGTGTGTGCAACTTTAAATTACCAAAAATGTATGTCCATATTTTACCCATGTGTAGTTTCGGATTTCTTCTGTGCTCCTAACTTACCCTGTAACTCCTACTACGAATTACCTCATTATTCAAATCATTATTGCATATTAAATACAGTTATTATNCTTCTTGTTGCTTTTTTTCGCTATTTAATTTCAAGGCGAACTTAGCACAGTGCGTAGGCAACTGGCTGAGTCAGTGGGATCGTCGGTTCGAATCCTACTGAAAGAAGTCTGATGAGGAAATGTGGTGATTTCCGAAATAGCTATCACTTCTACNTGCTTTTCCACAATAAGTTTTTCATTAAAAACGGCCTCAAGCTCAATAAAAATTGTTGAATATAATTGTCATAAGGCCATAAAATAACAAAAACAAATAAAAAATGTATGGTAAATTTTGTATGACCAAATTTTCGGGTCACAAATTTATTTCCAGTCTTGAAGTGACCAAAAATCGATCAAATTTTTGTAGAATTAATTACGCTTGCTAATTTTAGCTGTGTTTTAAAGTAGCCCAAAATTTATGTGGTTTGTTGAAACAACCAAAATTTTATGTCAAGTTTTTAAGTAACCGAAACACTGCGTTTTAAAATATATATGTTTATATTATTTAAAATTTATTCCCCTTTTTATGACCACAAATTTTTGCAGAATTTAATGTGACACAAATTTATGCCTAGTTTTGGAGTGAGCAAAAATGTATAAATTGTTTAATATGCAAATAACTTTGCTCATTAGCGAACGGCTTTTAAGAGGCAAAAAGTTTATGTCCTAATTTTAAGTCACCAAAAAATCATGTTCACTTTTTTAAATAACAAAAATTTATATCCAAACTTTAGGTGACAAAAAATGTGCGCTCCAGGTTACGAAATATTATATCCAAATCCAAAGTCATCAAAAGTTTTTTAAATGACCAAAAATTTATATAAAATTTTTAGACGATTTAATCACTTATTTCCAGTTTTTATGCGAACAAAAGTGTATACAATTTTAAATTACCAAAAATGTATGTATGTCCATATTTTACTTATGTACTATTCGGATTTTATTTGTGCTCCTTATATGATTTACCCACTAACTCCTACTATGAATTACCTCATTATTCAAATCATTATTGCATATTAAATACAGTTATTATAACTAACCACCTCAATTTGTAATTTTAATGGTTTTCCAATGCTTCTGTCTCTCCCACATTTAGCTTCTCAGTTCGCTGGCAACGGACTTGGATATTATGCTAAATGACCTGCGATCATCGCCAGGGTCAAGACTTCTACCGCCCACACATCATCTCCATCAGCGTAGTGCATCTAACTCCTCGAATGCCTCATCGCCACTGACTGTTGGTGGCGGAGGGGGAGGGGGAGGAGGTGGTTTAGTCGGAGGAAATGGTGGACTGAGTGGTGGTGGCGGGCAGACAACAACCGGTTATCTGCACAGTGCATGGCGAAATAACCACAGCAATCAATTTAGAGAGCAACAACAACAACAACAACAACAACGGAATGCACCACAGCTGCAACAGGAGAAGCGACAACAGCAACAACAGCAGCAATCAAGACAATCAGCTTTAGCGCATATAATACCAGCCCACACGTTAACGGCTACAACTACAACTACTACAATAACCACCACGGCATGCACAACGTCTATACCACAACGTTATAATCGCTATCAGCACCAACAAAAGCAACCGCAAGCGCATCGTTGCTGCGCTTCAGCGGCAAATGCTTGCAATCAAACGCGAACGCGCAACGCCACCCGATCTACAAAAATAATAGAAACAGCAGCAGGTGGCGCAAAAACCACAACTACAACGGCAAGCGCAAAGGCAGTTACAGCAGCAACAAAAACAACCAGCAGCAGCAGAACTCGCAATCAGCAACGACTCAATCAGCCTGCAATGGCGAACAGGTCCATCGCCACCAGTTCAGCAGCGACCACGACCACCAGCACCAACACCACCACCACCAGCGGCTGCAGCGGATGTGAATTGGTGGCAATAGCCGGAAATGTTGCGCCAGTTGATGCTGCCATCGGCGCTGCTGATGCATTGCATTGCAATGGACTGTCGGCCGAGGTGCGGCGCATAGAGNTGCCTCAGCGGCAAATGCTTGCAATCAAACGCGAACGCGCAACGCCACCCGAGCTACAAAAATAATAGAAACAGCAACAGGTGGCGCAAAAACCACAACTACAACGGCAAGCGCAAAGGCAGTTACAGCAGCAACAAAAACAACCAGCAGCAGCAGCAGCAGAACTCGTAATCAGCAACGACTCAATCAGCCTGCAACGCCGAACAGGTCCATCGCCACCAGTTCAGCAGCGACCACGACCACGACCACCAGCACCACCACCACCACCACCACCAGCGGCTGCAGCGGATGTGAATTGGTGGCAATAGCCGGAAATGTTGCGCCAGTTGATGCTGCCATCGGCGCCACTGATGCATTGCATTGCAATGGACTGTCGGCCGAGGTGCGGCGCATAGAGAAATTGCCGTTGTGGTCATATCAGCACAAACAGTTGCAGCAACCGCAAAAGCTGCAGGTACAATTGTTACAACAACAGCAACGTGCCACTAAAGCTTTTGCCGTTATGCATGCGGCTACAGCGTCAACAAAAACAACAACACAAGTAAATGTTACAACAGCCGCAATAACTACGCCAGCTACAGTGGCGGCCAGCAACCAGGACGCGGTCAGTAGGACGCACAATTTAGGCGATGGCCGCGTCTTGTCAGCAACAGGAAATGCCATTAGTGGTGGCCCATATGGTGGTTCGAGTGCTGGTCGTGTTGCAACTGCAGTAACAACTAGTAGTGTGACAACCCTCAACACAGCATCAACAGCAGATATGATGGACTATGTACGCGTCGAGGGAAATGTCGTAAGTGGGGGTGGAGCAGTTGACGACGTATTCCGGATGAGCTGGCTGCCACCAACGGCGTTATTTTTTGGGTGAGTACAAGTCAAAAGTTCACTATTGGTAAACGATTTAAAATTTAGGAGAATTTACGCAACTTTTTATATCTGTAGAAGCTCATAGCTTCAGAGATTTATTGAAACCAAGACCGAATGTATTAAGTTATAAAGCAAGTTACAGCTGGACCCACTTCTATGTTAACCCAGTTANATGGCGACCAGCAACCAGGACGCGGTCAGTAGGACGCACAATTTGGGCGATGGCCGCGTCTTGTCAGCAACAGGAAATGCCATTAGCGGTGGCCCATATGGTGGTTCGAGTGCTGGTCGTGTTGCAACTGCAGTAACAACTAGTAGTGTGACAACCCTCAACACAGCATCAATAGCAGATATGATGGACTATGTACGCGTCGAGGGAACTGGCGTAAGTGGGGGTGGAACAGTTGACGACGTATTCCGGATGAGCTGGCTGCCACCAACGGCGTTATTTTTTGGGTGAGTACAAGTCAAAAGTTCACTATTGGTAAACGATTTAAAATTTAGGAGAATTTACGCAACTTTTTATATCTGTAGAAGCTCATAGCTTCAGAGATTTATTGAAACCAAGACCGAATGTATTAAGTTATAAAGCAAGTTACAGCTGGACCCACTTCTATGTTAACCCAGTTAAGTATCTCAGAGTTAAATTTTTGTTTTACTAACCCAGACATTGAAAACTGGTTCGTGGAAGTAAGAACTAATTCGAAAAAGAAAATATGGAAATAAGTAATGTTGAAAAATAGTGTTCCTTTTTAGAGCACCGACGTTTCAGAGATAATGTTTCAGAGTTTAATGGGTTAGCTAATCTCATGATCTTGAGATAGGTTAGATTAAGGTGTCTGTCTCAAACAAAGAAGTAAAAAGGCCAAGTGGTCCATTGGGCCGCCATTGAAGAGAGACATCTCCATCTTCACCAATTTTATCTTTCCCTGAAATTNAAATTTACGCAACTTTTTATATCTGTAGAAGGTCATAGCTTCAGAGATTTATTGAAACCAAGACCGAATGTACTAAGTTATAAAGCAAGTTACAGCTGGACTCACTTGTATGTTAACCCAGTTAAGCATCTCAGAGTTAAATTTTTGTTTTACTAACCCAGACATTGAAAACTGGTTTGAGGAAGTAAGAACTAATTCGAAAAAGAAAATATGGAAATAAGTAATGTTGAAAAATAATGTTCCTTTTTAGAGCACCGACGTTTCAGAGATAATGTTTAATGGGTTAGATAATCTCATGATCTTGAGATAGGTTAGATTAAAACAAAGAAGTATAAAGGCCAAGTGGTCCATTGGGCCGCCATTGAAGAGAGACATCTCCATCTTCACCAATTTTATCTTTCCCTGAAATTAAGTCATTGCGTATGATTTATATAGCGCGTAATATTGGGCGCACTCAACAGCTGGAGTGGCTCGATGAAACGATATCGTGCTGTAGCTAGAGGCGGAGATAGCGTTATACGAGATCCACTTTCTTTTTCATTGAATTATATATGTGACCTGAGGCCCAGACTCAGCAATATATGTATGTACATATTGCGAAGCTAGCTCATTTACGATCTTTCTAAAGCCTATAACAACCTTGGAGTTGGATGACTAGAAGTTTATATAAAAAGAAAACAAAAGTTTTAATGGTATTAATTTAAAAAAAAATTGCTTATAAGTTGTTTAAGAATATAATAAAAATTAAGTTGAAAATAACGATATACATATATGAAGAAAAAGATGACGATTTGGATACCGATAAAAGTAAATGATTGACCCATTCTTACCACACTTAGGGACACGAATTTCGATACGATACGATACCATATCGATACTTTTGGCGTTCGATACCGATATTTTCTACATGATAGTTTTAAAATGATCTTTTTTGGAATCGAGTACCAGAACCCTAGTATCGTATCGAATGGCATAAACTCACAGTACAAGGATAATGTTATTAACAATTCTTCCCGATATATATTGGACTTTAAAGATCAGAAATTTGTAATATAGTTAGGATTGCATGTGGTGGAATTTGAACCCGCGGCCTCGGTGTTTTAAGTGAACACCGCAATCTCTACATGTTGTTACACAATATGTTAGTGTTTGACCGAGATTCTCCTCCGATTTGTCGCGCGCGCCTTAATGTTGTGGCACGGAAGGGGGGGGTCCCTACAGTTTTAGGTCGACTGTGAACGGCGATTATGTTTTACTGGGAAGCTGTTTTTCATTTTCAAGCTTTGCGAACTTCTACCCATTGCACCACAGCAGCCTATACACGGACCTATATTCAGATAAATTTTTTGGATTTTGGTATCGATATTTAGAATATCGAGTCTTTTTATTACGATATTAATGAGTACCCGATATTTTTAAAGCGATTCTTTAAATGAGTACCATATCGATGCTTTCTGCTCGATATCGTGTCCCTAACCACACTTCACCATTCTCTCCACACTTCAACTCAACTCACCTGAAATTGGGAATTAGGCTTTTAAAACCTTTCGTGATTCTCGAGACTAAATCCAGATTTTTAAGACTATTTCGGGATTCTCGAGGTTATTTCGAGATTTTCGAGACTATTTCGGAATTTTCGTTACATTTATCAATCTTCTTATCGATATATTTATCAATATTGTTATCGAAATAATTATTGATGATAAGCCACAATTTAGCGTTGCCTTTTCTTACGGCAATGCAAGACTATACACTTATTTAATAGATATACAGATATATATATATATATACATATGAAATCATGAACTAAGCTCGATTGCAGTAAAGCAAATAAAATGTGTAAATTATGTATTAGTTTTATGATATCCTTCGTATTTATTATAACTTCATCTTCAAGTTTGAACCAACTGCAAGAACTCCAAGGCAGAACGAGCAAATCTCCCAATTAAACTGCTGAATCCTGTCAACGTGTCAGCAGCAGCCAGCTCGTAGGTACTTCTCTTCATTCATACGTGCAACACGAACGCTTTCGCAAATGATTATTGCGCACCTATGCTGTTGCACGTACGCGACTCCTACCCACCTTTCCATTGTCAGGCAGACTGGACTTTGGCAGGGTGTGCTCATATGAACTAATACGCAAGTTCATACACAGGTACGTAAATATGTATATCCTACATATGTTCCCGCGGTGTAGCAAGTCCTTTACACTAGCATTGCTGCTGGCTATTTACTTTTTATTGCTAACAAAACATCTTTTTCTAGATCATCTTTCCTCGAAGCTTCATCGAATAACTATAAAATGCGGACTAAGAGTTGGCAGATATTTTTATATGAGTATACATAAGTATCCCTTATGAATGTTTGTATGTTGGTAGATATATTTATGATGTACCTGTGTGCCTGTCTGTCCTCTGTCTGCATGCCATTGTTATTATGCGGGCGGATTTCTTAATTTTACAGTTTCGTGTCGCAGGCAAACCGACGACGCTTGCCTCATCTCGCTCTGCTGTCTTTTGCTTAGGTCTTCCTATACCATCTACTATGAACTCTGCACAGTTCTTCTTGCACCATTTTTGGTGTGTTTTATTGCTTTTTTGGCTCTTGAATTTTTTATGAATTATATTTACACGTATCCGCTTCGTGTTCAATGATTTTTCAACTATATATTAGACAAAGCAGTTATTGTTGTTGTTGTCGGTAGTGCTACAGAACTACTACATATGTACATATGTGCATTAGGGTGGTCCAAAAAAATGCATGTGCAAAAGTAAAGTCGGAATTTTTTGCTCTCACCCCCTAGGATTGTTCTATACCGAAAAAAATATATCCCCATTGTTTTTTTTTTTTATCAAAAAATATTTAGAGGTCGCTCAAAGCACCCAAAGTTTCCATGTATTTTATATGGGGAAAAACAACGTTTCGTAGAAATGGTATAGAACTCATAAAAATCAATATTTTTCTATCGGAAAACTCTGTTTATCTGCAGGAGATTCCGAAAAAAAAATCCCAAATTTTTTATTTAACCATTTTTTCATCGCAACTATATTTTATAGGTCCGCCAAAAACCCAGAAAAACCACGAAAAATGCAATCGGGGATCAATAAAAAATCGTTAGTATTAACAAATGGTTAAATATACAATTGGGTTGATTTCAAATCAAAAAATAGGGATACTTTTTTTTTTTGATAAAGAACAATCCTAGGGGATGAGAGCATTACGATTCCAACTTTACTGTTTTTGGACCACCCTAATATACATACGTAGTACAAACGATTTCTATGTGGGGAGATGTTAGAAGACACAACTTCATTTTTATGCTTTTGTGCCGCATTGTTTCGAGCTCAAGTTGTAGCTTTTGTTATTTTTATTATTATATCTTTCTTGCTGTTGCTGCCACTTTTATTGGTTTGGCATTTGTGGCTGGTCATCCGCAATTACTTTGCTCTCTGATGTAACTCACATTGCGCACTTATTTCGTTGCCCTTATCTCCTTTGAATAGGTATTTTGAAGGAGCTATGGCTTGCCCAGCAGTCTGGCAACGTTTAAGTGCTCGCTGAGGCAATGGCGACGCGCGTCCAGCAAACAATTTTGCACTGGAGATCCCTGCACTTACGTATATATGAATTTGTATATACATACGTGTTGCAGACATCCGCAACTTCTTTGCTTAGCAAACTCTCCACCACCTTCTACGCTCATTCCCGCTTCTTCCATTGAAATCTGCTCGTTATTGATTGAATTTTCAGTCATTCATTTAACGTTTCAGATCTTTACTCACCTCCGATTGTGCAATGAAGACGACAAAAAGTCGTGAGCTGCTTGTCGACTGAATTTCAGTCAAATATGTACATATTTATAATTTTTTAGAGACATCACGCAGAGAAATGCAATGGCGTAAAATTATTTTCGAGCTCGGAACTAATAGTGTAAATGCAAGAAAACTTAAAACTAACTAGATTCTTATCACATTCAAATTACCTAAATCGGATTTCAGCACTCCGAAATTACCTTACGAATACATATTTTCTAACATCTAAAGCCGATTGGGTCTTATTGGTAAAACGTGTGCCGGATTGACTCGGGAGCACCAACTCTGACCGAGGGTAATACTGGTGTTACCTAAAAGCATTCTCAGGACGTCTGCACAGAGATTGGAGTGACAATGCAAGCGGAAAAAGCGGAACAAACGCTCGACGTGGATCCGACTTTTTTCATACGATGTTGCGGTATTTCTAAATATAAAAACGATTTTTCCACTGCCGCAACGTCGGATCCAGTTCGAAATTGATTACACACCAAAAAAGAAAAAGAGAAACAAAGTCCGGCATGCAAAGTGCTCATGCCAGTGGTGGAAAATATATAGGATCATTCCCCTTCCAGGAAGAAGCCGGACTACAGCACAATTTTCTTCCAGTCCCGAATGACAGAACCTACGGAGTACCACTCGCCCCCAGCCTGACGAAGCACTTTAAACCTGCCGAACCCCAGCATGGATTCCGGAAAATGCTCCGCAC